CGAGTCTATAGACCAGATTCTAGTCTAGTCTATAGACCAGATTCTAGTCTAATATATAGACCAGATTCTAGTCTATTCTATAGACCAGATTCTAGTCGAGTCTATAGACCAGATTCTAGTCTAGTCTATAGACAAGTCTCTTCTGTAGATCAGGCTGTAGTTTATTCTATAGACCAGACTATAGTATATTCTATATTCTATAGACTACATACACTATAGTCTCTTCTATAGTTCAGACTATAGTCTATTCTATAGTCCAGACTATAGTCTATTCTATAGACCAGACTCTAGTCTCTTCTATTGTCCAGACTATAGTCTATTCTATAGAACAGACTCCAGTCTCTTCTATAGAACAGACTCCAGTCTCTTCTATAGACCAGACTCTAGTCTATTCTATAGACCAGAAATTTCTATAAAAATTCTTCAGATCGATCGATCTTGCGAAAATTTTCTATAAAAATTCTCCAGATCGATCGATCTTGCTAAAATTCTCCCGATCGATCGATCTTGCGAAAATTTGCTATAAAAATTCTCCCGATCGATCTAGTCTCTAGTCTCTTCTATAGACCAGACTCTAGTCTATTCTATAGACCAGACTCTAGTCTATTCTATAGACCAGACTCTAGTCTATTCTATAGACCAGACTCTAGTCTATTCTATAGACCAGACTCTAGTCTATTCTATAGACCAGACTCTAGTCTATTCTATAGACCAGACTCTAGTCTATTCTATAGACCAGACTCTAGTCTATTCTATAGACCAGACTCTAGTCTATTCTATAGACCAGACTCTAGTCTATTCTATAGACCAGACTCTAGTCTATTCTATAGACCAGACTCTAGTCTCTTCTATAGACCAGACTCTAGTCTATTCTATAGACCAGACTCTAGTCTATTCTATAGACCAGACTCTAGTCTATTCTATAGACCAGACTCTAGTCTACTCTATAGACCAGACTCTAGTCTACTCTATAGACCAGTCTCTAGTCTATTCTATAGACCAGACTCTAGTCTATTCTATAGACCAGACTCTAGTCTATTCTATAGACCAGACTCTAGTCTATTCTATAGACCAGACTCTAGTCTATTCTATAGACTAGGCTTTAGTCTATTCTATAGAACAGACCATATTCTATTCTGTAGTCCACACTATATTATATTCTGTAGTCCAGACTATAATATATTCTGTAGTCCATACTATAGTCTATTCTGTAGTTCAGAATATAGTCTATTCTATAGTCCAGACTATAGTCTATTCTATAGTCCAGACTATAGTCTATTCTATAGTCCACACTATAGTCTATTCTATAGTCCAGACTATTCTCTATGTAGTCCAGGCTAATTATATCCCTTCTGGTAGTAAAAAGTACTATTTAAGTTAATAATTTTATTACTTTTTTGTCCTTTAAATTACAATTCTCTCTCAATCCCTTTCATATACTTAAATTATAAACTTTTTCTCACTATCTCTCTCTCGTATTCTCTCTTGGCTTAAATCATTTAACACCGGCATTTTTTTTCTAACAGAAGTTTATAGGCCTCAAAATATTATATAAAAATGTAGATTTTATAATTTAGCAAATCAACACAACTGGTACGAAGAACATAAAAAAACAGCAACATATTTTCTAAAAGCTTTTTTATGTCTGCGAACTCTCTCGAGTGTGACGTTTACAGACCGTTACTGAAAAATGAGTAAGAGCTTAAATCATTAAACTGATTCTGATTCTGATTGTTATTATTTTGCTTTTGGCTTTGTATAGAATTGCTCTTTTTCTTTCATCATTCAAAATCATCATCATCACGTGTATTGTTTTGCACAAAAAGTACTCAACAATAGTTTAGTTGATGCTTCAACGAGTCAAATGTCTAAATTGCAATTGTTAGAAAGTACCTTTTTTTTGGAAATAGAAAATAACGTGTGTCATGCCGCAAAAACATAACAACGCATGCTACACTTCGGGGATGGTTAAAAGTTGTATGTTAAAAAGTACCAGAATGAGATTATAAGATTATTTAGAGAAAATATTTGTTAGATTGATATTGAAAGATTTTGATTTGGAGAATTTTTATAGAAATGTCTTGCAAGATCGATCTAAAGATCGATCGATCTGTAGAATTTTTATAGAAAATTTCGATAGATCTGGATAATTTTTATAAAAAGTTTTCGCAAGATCGATCGATCTGGAGAATTTTTATAGAAAACTTTCGCAAGATCGATCTGGAGAATTTTTATAGAAAATTTTCTCAAGATCGATCGATCTGGAGAATTTTTTTAGAAAATTTTCTCAAGATCGATCGATCTGGAGAATTTTTTTAGAAAATTTTCTCAAGATCGATCGATCTGGAGAATTTTTTTAGAAAATTTTCTCAAGATCGATCTGGAGAATTTTTATAGAAAATTTTCTTAAGATAGTCAAGTCTATAGTCAAGTCTAGAGTCAAGTCTATAGTCAAGTCTATAGTCAAGTCTATAGTCAAGTCTATAGCCTAGTCTATAGTCTAGTCTATAGTCTAGTCTATAGTCAAGTCTAGAGTCAAGTCTATAGTCAAGTCTATAGTCAAGTCTATAGTCAAGTCTATAGTCAAGTCTATAGCCTAGTCTATAGTCTAGTCTATAGTCTAGTCTATAGTCTAGTCTATAGTCTAGTCTATAGTCTAGTCTATAGTCTAGTCTATAGTCTAGTCTATAGTCTAGTCTATAGTCTAGTCTATAGTCTAGTCTATAGTCTAGTCTATAGTCTAGTCTATAGTCTAGTCTATAGTCTAGTCTATAGTCTAGTCTATAGTCTAGTCTATAGTCTAGTCTATAGTCTAGTCTATAGTCTAGTCTATAGTCTAGTCTATAGTCTAGTCTATAGTCTAGTCTATAGTCTAGTCTATAGTCTAGTCTATAGTCTAGTCATAGTCTAGTCTATAGTCTAGTCTATAGTCTAGTCTATAGTCTAGTCTATAGTCTAGTCTATAGTCTAGTCTATAGTCTAGTCTATAGTCTAGTCTATAGTCTAGTCTATAGTCTAGTCTATAGTCTAGTCTATAGTCTAGTCTATAGTCTAGTCTATAGTCTAGTCTATAGTCTAGTCTATAGTCTAGTCTATAGTCTAGTCTATAGGTCTAGTCTATAGTCTAGTCTATAGTCTAGTCTATAGTCTAGTCTATAGTCTAGTCCTATAGTCTAGTCTATAGTCTAGTCTATAGTCTAGTCTATAGTCTAGTCTATAGTCTAGTCTATAGTCTAGTCTATAGTCTAGTCTATAGTCTAGTCTATAGTCTAGTCTATAGTCTAGTCTATAGTCTAGTCTATAGTCTAGTCTATAGTCTAGTCTATAGTCTAGTCTATAGTCTAGTCTATAGTCTAGTCTATAGTCTAGTCTATAGTCTAGTCTATAGTCTAGTCTATAGTCTAGTCTATAGTCTAGTCTATAGTCTAGTCTATAGTCTAGTCTATAGTCTAGTCTATAGTCTAGTCTATAGTCTAGTCTATAGTCTAGTCTAGTCTAGTCATAGTCTAGTCTATAGTCTAGTCTATAGTCTAGTCTATAGTCTAGTCTATAGTCTAGTCTATAGTAGTCTATAGTCTAGTCTATAGTCTAGTCTATAGTCTAGTCTATAGTCTAGTCTATAGTCTAGTCTATAGTCTAGTCTATAGTCTAGTCTATAGTCTAGTCTATAGTCTAGTCTATAGTCTAGTCTATAGTCTAGTCTATAGTCTAGTCTATAGTCTAGTCTATAGTCTAGTCTATAGTCTAGTCTATAGTCTAGTCTATAGTCTAGTCTATAGTCTAGTCTATAGTCTAGTCTATAGTCTAGTCTATAGTCTAGTCTATAGTCTAGTCTATAGTCTAGTCTATAGTCTAGTCTATAGTCTAGTCTATAGTCTAGTCTATAGTCTAGTCTATAGTCTAGTCTATAGTCTAGTCTATAGTCTAGTCTATAGTCTAGTCTATAGTCTAGTCTATAGTCTAGTCTATAGTCTAGTCTATAGTCTAGTCTATAGTCTAGTCTATAGCCTAGTCTATAGTCTAGTCCGTAGTCTAGTCTATAGTCTAGTCTGTAGTCTAGTCTATAGTCTAGTCTATAGTCTAGTCTATAGTCTAGTCTATAGTCTAGTCTATAGTCTAGTCTATAGTCTAGTCTATAGTCTAGTCTTTAGTCTAGTCTTTAGTCTACTCTATAGTCTAGTCTATAGTCTGGTCTATAGTCTAGTCTATAAACTAGTTTATAGTCTAGTCTATAGTCTAGTCTGTAGTCTAGTCTATAGTCTAGTCTGTAGTCTAGTCTATAGTCTAGTCTGTAGTCTAGTCTATAGTCTAGTCTAAAGTCTAGTCTATAGTCTAGTCTATAGTCTAGTCTATAGTCTAGTCTATAGTCTAGTCTATAGTCTAGTCTATAGTCTAGTCTATAGTCTAGTCTATAGTCTAGTCTATAGTCTAGTCTATAGTCTAGTCTATAGTCTAGTCTATAGTCTAGTCTATAGTCTAGTCTATAGTCTAGTCTATAGTCTAGTCTATAGTCTAGTCTATAGTCTAGTCTATAGTCTAGTCTATAGTCTAGTCTATAGTCTAGTCTATAGTCTAGTCTATAGTCTAGTCTATATAGTCTAGTCTATAGTCTAGTCTATAGTCTCGTCTATAGTCTAGTCTATAGTTTAGTCTATAGTTAGTCTATAGTCTATAGTCTAGTCTATAGTCTAGTCTATAGTCTATTTCTGGCAGGTTGTTTGAAAATTTTCATAAAAGTTTGGTTTGTGCTGATAGATACTTTCTTTTACCCTGTTTTGGACATAAATGTGTGACAAATTTCCACCCCATTTCTGCTACTGTCATTGCTGGGAGAGTTTTTATGTATGTGTGTTTGTTGTTGTTATTATTTTTATTGTCACTACAAGCGAAAGTGAGTGAATGAGTGTATTAGCAGACACAGATGAACGGACGTTATGAGTTTTCGTTTCGGTCGTGTTTAAAGCAAAATTTTATGAGCAGACCTCAGCTCAGTTGGGTGCAATACGCGGAACGCGTTAGAACGTTTATGTTTTTTTCACAAGCACATTAAACAAAATCAATTTGAAAACGTTGAAGAAGAAAAAATTTTTTTTTTTTGGTGAAAAAAAGGATAAAGAATTTATTATAAAATATTTGAAAAAAAAAGTCTAAACAAAGTGATGAAAATTTCTGCAAAAAAGTCCTTTAAACAGCTAGAAATTTGAATGAAAAAGAAACGCAGAAAAAAGAAGAAAAAAGTTTTAAATTCCTAAGTTTTTAGCTAAAATTTCTAGACAAATCCAAAAACAAAAAAAAAAAAATATATTTTTTTGTTGAAAACAAAAACACAGGATTAAGAAGGTTTTTTTGCTAAAACTGATTTTAAGTTGGAATTTGCAGCCTCCTGTTTAGCCTGTTCAAAAAAAGGATACAAAAAGTGAAAGGATTTTTGTTGTTATTGTTTAAAGCTTTGTTTGGTTAGAAAAAAAAAATAGTAGAAAAAATAAATCTAAAAGAATCTGCTGGGATTCTAGTTCAAAATCAAAGTGAAGAGTGTGAGTGTACGACTAACGTGTTAACGTGAGTGTGGACATCGGTGTGTTGTCTTCGTTGTCGTCGGTAACGTTTAATATAGTTCGCATGTGGTCTACTGGTCCAAGTTACAATTTATCTATGATTTTTGGTTAAAACAACTTCTAAAAAAATATTCTTCTTTTTTCCCCCAACTGCAGCAGTTAGTCTGAAATTGTGTCTGAAAAAAAAGCTTTAGAATTGTTAAGATAAGTTCTGTTTTTGGTCTCTTCTTGTTCGTGAGTCTGTGTGTGTTTAAAATTGTTGGTTATTTTTGCTGCTGTTAACTGTTTAAGAAGAAAACAAACAAATGAAAAAAATATTAAAAAAATTATTTTAATTCTCTTCTACTGTTCAATCAACTAGAAGTAATCTAACTATAAGAATAGCAACAACAAAAGAAAGCAAAAAAGCCAGAAAACATCCAAATCAGGTCAGTGTTTAATTAAATTTTCTTTAAATGTTTAATAAAAACTTTTTCCCCCTGCCCCCTCCTCTATGCACCACAAAAAAAACAGCAAACCAATTTAAAACTTACTCCTATTAAGTATTTGACATTGATTACCGTTAAGTTTAAATGTCAGGGACAATATCATAAGTATGAGTGTTACAATGTGTGTGTGTGTTTTTGTAAAGATGAACTCTTGCTTGCCTCTCTCTCTCGCTCTCTCTTCCCACTAAGTTATAGTTAAAAAAAAATAAGACTCAAAATAAAACTGAAAATATTCCTTTTCAAAGGAATAAATTAATAAAATTTATTTAAAAGAGAAGAAAAAGATCCTCGTCAAAGTCTAAGAATACGAACTTTTCTGCTAATTAATCTTGACAGTTTACAAAGTTTACAACCATAGAAGAATTCTTGAAAAAATCTTCTTTAAATAAAGAATTTTTTGATAATTTTTCATGAATTTTCTCTAAAGAAAGAATTTTTCGAGAATTTTTCTTGAAAATAAGAATTTTTATAGAATTTTATATAAAGAAATTTTTTCAAGAATTTTCTTTAAAAATGTAATTGTTTAAGAATTTTTTTCAAGAATTTTCTTTAAATAAAGAATTTCTTCAAGAATTTTATTGAAATTAAGAAATTTTTTCAAGAAAAAAGAACTTTTCAAGAATTATCTTTAAAGAAAGAATTTTTGGTGAATTTTTATTGATATTTAGAAAATTTTTTCAAAAATTTTCTTTAAATAAAAAATTTTTCAAAAATTTTATTTAAATTAAAAAATTTTGTTCAAGAATTTTCTTTAAATAAAGAATTTTTTTCAACAAATTCCTTAAAAAAAAATAATTTTCAAAAATTTTCTTGAATTAAGAATTTTGTTTCAAGAATTTTCCTTAAAGAAAGAACTTTTCAGGAATTTTCTTTAAATAAAAAAAAAATTTTCAAAAATTTTATTGAAATTTAGAAATTTTGCTCAAGAATTTTTTTTAAATAAAGAATTTTGTTGAAATAAATAAATTTTTAATGAATTCTTTCTTTAACTAAAGGGAATTTTTTTTAAGAATTTTCCTTAAATTAAGAATTTTTGTAAAAACTTTCCATAAATGAAGAATTTTTTAAGAATTATTTGAAAATTTTTCCTTAAAGAAAGAACCTTTCAAGAATGTTTTTTAAATAAAACACTTTTAAATAATTTTGTTGAAATTATGAAATTTTTTTAAGAATTTTCTTTAAATAAAGAATTTTTTCGAAAATGTTTCAATAATTTTATTAAATTTAGAATTTCTTAAAGAATTTTTCAAGAATTTTATTGAAATTAATAAATTGTTCCAAGAAAAAAGAACATTTCAAGAATTATCTTTAAATAAAGAATTTTTCGAGAATTTTTATTGAAATTTAGACTTTTTTTTCAAGAATTTTCTTTAAATAAAGAATTTTTCAAAAATTTTATTGATATTAAGAGGTTTCTTCAAGAATTTAACTTAATTAAAGAAAGAGCTTTTCAATAATTTTCTTTAAATAATGAATTTAAAAAAAAAAAAAAAAAAAAATATTGAAATTTAGAAATTTTATTCAAGAATTTTCTTTTAATAAAGGATTTTTCAAGAATTTTCTTCAAATAAATAAATTTTTAAATAATTCTTTCTTTAACTATAACATTTTTCGAAAAATTTTTTTAAACACTTTCTTGAAATTAAGAATTTTTTTCAAGAATTTTCTTTAAATAAAGAATTTCTTCAAGAATTTTCTTTAAATAAAGAATTCTTTCAAACATTTTTCAATAATTTTATTGAATTAAGAGTTTCTTAGAAATTATTATTGAAATGAAGAAATTTTTTCAAGAAGAAAGAACTTTTCAAAAATTTTCTTTAAAGAAAGAATTTTTCAAGAATTATTCGAGAATTTTTATTGAAATTTAGAAAAATTTTTTCAAGAACTTTCTTTAAATAAAGAATTTTTCAAAAATTTTATTGAAATTAAGAAAGGGTTTTCAAGAATTTTCCTTAAAGAAAATTTTTTAAAGAATTTTTCAAAAATTTTCCAAGAATTTTTCAAGAATATTAGAGAATTAAAAATTTTTTTAAGAATTTTCCTTAAAGAAAACGCTTATTTCTTAAAATAAGGAAAGCATTTTTAAAGAATTTCTTTTAAATAATAATATATTTGAGAATTTTTTAAGAATTTGATTTAAATAAAAAAATGTCATGATTTTTTTTTAAATAAAGAATTTTTCGCTATATTTTTAGAAATAAAGAATTTTTCAAGAATTATCCTTAAAGAGAAAACTTTCCAAGAATTTTCTTGAAATTAGGAATTTTTTCAAATAAAGAACTTTTCAAGAATTTTCCTTAAATAAAGAATTTTTCGAAAATTTTCTTTAAATAAAGAGTTTTTCTAGAATTTTCTTGAAACTAAGATTATTTCACGAACAATCCCAAATAAAGAACTTTTTAAGAATTTTCTTTAAATAAAGAATTCCTTCAATAATTTTCTTTAAATAAAGAATTTTTCGAGAATTTTATTGAAATTAGAATTTTTTCAAGAATTTTCCTTAAAGAAAACCTTCCCAGTATTTTTTAAGAATTTTCTTTAAACAATTTCTTCAAGAATTTTATTGAAATTAAGAAAATTTTCAAGAATTTTCTTTAAATAAAGAATTTTTGAAGAATTTTCTTAAAATTAAGAATTTTTTCAAGAATTAGAAAATTTTCAAGAATTAAGAAATTTTTTTCAAGAATATTCCTCAAATAAATAACTTTTCAAGAATTTTCAAACATTTACTAGAATTTTTTAAGAATTTTCTTAAATAAAGAATTTTTTTAAGAATTTTATTAAAATTAAGAATGTTTCTTAAAAAATGATCTTAAAAAAATTTTCTTTAAATAAAGTTTTTTTCCGCTAATATTTCAAGAATTTTTTTTCCTTCAATTTTTGAAGAATTTTCCTTCCGCAAATTTTTCTTTCTGGTAGTTAGTTAGTTAGTTAGTTAGTTAGTTAGTTAGTTAGTTAGTTAGTTAGTTAGTTAGTTAGTTAGTTAGTTAGTTAGTTAGTTAGTTAGTTAGTTAGTTAGTTAGTTAGTTAGTTAGTTAGTTAGTTAGTTAGTTAGTTAGTTAGTTAGTTAGTTAGTTAGTTAGTTAGTTAGTTAGTTAGTTAGTTAGTTAGTTAGTTAGTTAGTTAGTTAGTTAGTTAGTTAGTTAGTTAGTTAGTTAGTAGTTAGTTAGTTAGTTAGTTAGTTAGTTAGTTAGTTAGTTAGTTAGTTAGTTAGTTAGTTAGTTAGTTAGTTAGTTAGTTAGTTAGTTAGTTAGTTAGTTAGTTAGTTAGTTAGTTAGTTAGTTAGTTAGTTAGTTAGTTAGTTAGTTAGTTAGTTAGTTAGTTAGTTAGTTAGTTAGTTAGTTAGTTAGTTAGTTAGTTAGTTAGTTAGTTAGTTAGTTAGTTAGTTAGTTAGTTAGTTCCACTTAAAATGTCAAAATTAAACGAAGTTATAAAAATATTTAACAAAATACTCTTTGTTTCTTAAAAATTATATGTTTGTCTTAAACAAAGTAATTACTTTCTACTTAAACTGCAGCTCTACACTAAAACTATTCACTTGGTGTTTCCCAACTTAAGGGTTAAAGGTAAAAACCTTTCAACTAAACTAAAATTTCCCCATTATTTCATTTCAAACCAACATTTGTGTTGTTTGCATGTTCTGTTGTAACCACAAAAAGAAAAAAAAATACGTAACATTCATAAAAAATTTTAAACAATAAAACCTACATTACTAACAATTTAGCAAAATTCTTATGAAAATAACAACAAAAAACCACAAATTAAAAAGAAGCACATGTGAACTATATATTCCATATATAATTTTTATATAATTTCTGTCTAAATACCTGAACTCTCTTGCATGCATGCTTGAATGCTTGGCAGACTTGAAATAGTTACATTTTAAAGAATCTTTTAAACATTAGGGACTCCCGCTAACGACAAGTGCAAATAGAGCTGTTAAATAACTATTTTATTTAATGATTTTTTAATTGAAATTATTCTTAGTGTAAATATTATTAATTAACTTTTTCTGAAATTTTTTAATAAATTTTATAGTGTACCGTAATTTACAAATATTTGAAAAAAACAGCTGTTGTTTAACAGCTGCTAAAAGAGGGTTGTTTTTTTTTTATTAGCTGCCTAAGAATTGCACAAAAAAGAACAATTTGTCCACCCTTAATTACGCAAATCAATAATTAAACTGGATCTAGTGAAGATATTTGTCAAACGCTAATTATCGATTTGTTAAAAAATTATATTTTCGGACAACGGACATGCAAAAACACAAAATTTTACACAATAGGGCTAGAAAAAGATCATAGACTAGACTATAGACTAGACTAGACTATAGACTAGACTATAGACTAGACTAGACTATAGACTAGACTATAGACTAGACTATAGACTAGACTATAGACTAGACTATAGACTAGACTATAGACTAGACTATAGACTAGACTATAGACTAGACTATAGACTAGACTATAGACTAGACTATAGACTAGACTAGACTAGACTAGGACTAGACTAGACTATAGACTATAGACTAGACTATAGACTAGACTATAGACTAGACTATAGACTAGACTATAGACTAGACTATAGACTAGACTATAGACTAGACTATAGGACTAGACTATAGACTAGACTATAGACTAGACTATAGACTAGACTATAGACTAGACTATAGACTAGACTATAGACTAGACTATAGACTAGAATATAGACTAGACTATAGACTAGACTATAGACTAGACTATAGACTAGACTATAGACTAGACTATAGACTAGACTATAGACTAGACTATAGACTAGACTATAGACTAGACTATAGACTAGACTATAGACTAGACTATAGACTAGACTATAGACTAGACTATAGACTAGACTATAGACTAGACTATAGACTAGACTATAGACTAGACTATAGACTAGACTATAGACTAGACTATAGACTA